TATATATATATTCTTTTTTAAACTTTTAGGTCCCACACTGTAACAGGATATCAACTGGAAATCAAGTAGACATAATCTCCTTGCTTTGAAAGATTCTTATATATAAGAATATAAGTTATTGTGATGCAGCCAAAATGACTTTCCTAGTAATTGCCTTTGATTTTCATCACGTGGCTAGATGGGATTATCATAATGAAGTGAGTAAAGTGAATAGCATCATTCAAGAGGAAACACGAAAACAGAGTGTATAGACTACAGATGAGGGGATTAGTCATATTTTCCCTTCTGTGAAGCTTAAATTGAGCAGGTAAAATGGGACTCTCATCACTAGCAAGACAGAATGGGGGAGTCCAACGTGTTTCCATTTGTACTAACAATTCTTACATGAATAAGACCAGAAAGCAGACAAGATTAGCAGTAACAACATTAGAAGCAGGAGTAGCAGAAAATCAGAGACTCCCTGAACTGAGACTGTCACTTTATGGTGCTAGTTTAAGGGGCTTTTGCATAAGTTTGCTGGAGGATTTGGGGAGAAATGCGATCATTCATAGAGCCAAAGGAGCTTTGTATCACTAGTCTAGAAGTGTGAGATTGAAGGTCAAAGGATTGGTGAGCTTACCTGAAAAACTGTCTTTACTGAAGAATTGTGTCCTGTTTCTAACCTGAACTTTTTAACTTCCTACTAATTCTCAGAATTTTAAGTGTGCTCTGGGAGTTGTGTGTGACCATTACAATGGATTAGAAGAACCAGCAGGACAGGGAAAGTCTTAGTAAGCATGGTAAGTACTGGAATTGATAATAGTAGATAGAGAAGCTTAGGTACATGGCCACACAGGAACTGGTTTTATGTTTTGTATAGAGGCCAGATAACATTGTACACATGCTGGCCACACTATTTTCCCAGTTATCTTGTTTCAGTCTGATATCAATCTGATATCAGTCTTCAAACAATGTGGTTCAATGTCAATTACCATGCACATTAACTGTGAGTAATTGCTTAAAACATAGGTTTTTTTTCCCCCTGCTCACTCCGGTTTACAAATCATTTTGCAAATAACAGCTGTACATCATGATCAACTCTGTCACTTCTTTCATAGTACGGACATGACTTGTTACTGTGCGTCTGTGTTACAGTTCATGAACACACAGCAAGAGTGTGTCATTTGGTTGATTCCTTGTCTCCAGTGATAAATGTGTATGAATTTTACAGAAATAGATAACTGAAAGAAAAGATCAATCAACATAGGAAACTGGAGAGGATGTTAAGTGATAATGCTAAAAGTGAAAGTCACATCTAATGTAAATGGTATTATAGAAAAAATATCTAATGATGGGATTGCAGATGCTACCACCACTTGAGAGATTCTTGATAAGCCTCCTGTGTGGTTTATTTTCTCTGAAAATCCACTGGAGGATCAGTTCTGAGTCAGTTCTAACTTGATGCTACATATTAACAACAACAACAAAAATGCAAACTTTGAAAGGTTTATAGTAGAAAAGATGTTCTTTCTTTATGACAAGATATATGATGATAAGGAAAATATACATACTGTTCAAGCTACTCTCAGTAAGCATTCTTTCCAAATTAGTATTGCTGTTAGGCACTACTAACTCAATTTTGAGAAGACGACTACGGAAGAAATGGATTGACACAGTAACTGGAGTAATGGGGCAGATGTGTCAGAGTCAGTAAGATTGGCTCAGGATGTGGGCTTCAGAGCTATTGTATATAGGATCAGTATGAGTCACAGGCAACTTGATGGCACGTAACAACTATACACAATAGAGTGACATTTTGCTCCATTCTACACTATCCTTACAATCTCCAAATGAACGAAACACATTAATGATCAATATTTCTAATAATTACTACTTAAAAGTATGTTATTAAAATGTTTTTATTTCCATATACAATCACAATCAACAGTAAGATATTTAGGACATCAGTTGTAAATATGAATATCCTCAGAAAGTAAGTGTCAAGAAAACAAGAGTTGTTTTGTTTTGTTTTTGTAATTGGTTTGCTTATAAAGTTCATGTAAGTACATTGTGTTTCACACTATTCACATTGTGTTTCATTCTATCATTCTCATGCATTATGTTTTACAAAATAATCACCATTAGATCTTGCCTATCATTACCTTGTCTTTTCACCTGGATCTTTCCCCTTTCCTTGCCCCCTCCCTCCACCCACCAAAATGTGCAACTCTGTGGTTTCACCTACCTATCCTTACCCCTCTGCTCCTCCCTCCCTGAGTTCCAGTACACATTTTAACAGTTATCCTTCTGTCTTTAAAATAATTATCTTATGCAGACTTTGCCCTTATGAGATTATGTTAGTTCACTCAACATAATGTTCTCTAGCCTCTCCCAAATTACATAGTTTTTTTTTTAAATCATTGCTCCTGAGGGTTGCATAGTATTCCATTGTGTGAATGTACCACAGTTTCTAACAGGGTGATAAGAAATTCTATTGACTGGAAACAAGTTGGTAATACCCTTTTGAACAAAGATCTCATAAAAAAAAGTTTATGGAATACTCCTTGGCCTCCAGAAGAAAAATACTGATAACCCAATTACAAAATGAGCACAAGATATGGACTTTTCACAGAAGACATTTAGATGGCCAACAGACACACGAAGAAATGTTCAAAATTGCTGGCAATAAGAGAAGCAAACCAAACCTACAGTAAAGTACCATCTCACCCCAATAATAGTGGCAAAGTTTAGTTGGGCAGCAAGCAATAAATGTTGGAGAGAATGTGGAGAGGTGGAAACACGCATACCTTGTTGATGGGATTGTAAAATGGTGCAACCACTCAGGAAGACAGTTTTGTATTTCTTCAAAAAGTTGAACATAGAAATTGCATATTACCCAGCTATTCTACTACTCGGGATATACTCTAAATGAATTAGAACTGAGACACAAGTGGAGATTTGTACACTAATGTTCATATCTGTGGTACTCACCGTTGAAGGAATGTGGAAACAGCCCAAATGTACAAGCACAACCTAATGGATTGAGAAAACAGTTTTTAAAGATGACAGAAGCATTGACATTTTCCCTAGGGGTTACATGGTTTTAGCTTTTATGGTCATTTAAAAATTCCTCATTATCATATAAGAACCATATATGATCAATCCAGTTTCCAAAGCCTTCTGCATTTATTAGATGTTCATTCTCAATAATATTCTTACTCTTTCTAGATTAAGTGCATCATCAGAAGTAGAAGAGGAGCTTTGGCAGTAACTTCTAGGCATCCTCCCGAGAATTAGCTACCAAGTGCTATAGGCAGCTGTTGTAATCATAAGCTGTTCTACTGATATCTGGCATCCTTTTGAGAATCACCAACTTTTATCTTGCAGATAGCTAAGTTTCTTAATAGTGATTTTTCTGT